TGGGACGGGTCCAAAGTTCCTCTCATGCACGTCCCCTGCGCAGGCACCTGCGCACAAGACAGACCTTTCCCTTTGTCCCTGCCTGGCCGGCAGCGACGCCCCGGGCTGAGCCAGGGTGGCTCCAGTCCACCCTTAGGAGCAGCACAGACCTCGCCGGCCCCACAGTCCCAGGCGGGACGAGCTCCCTGCGTCTCCCCTGCTGACACCCAGAAGCTTTCGTGCTTTTTCCTGGCAGGGCTGCCTGGGGAAGACGAGGGCATTGGCCCTCCTCATCCTCCCAGCGGGCTCAGCTGTGGATTCCTGCTCCGCAGGCACCAGGGCAGTGGGGAACAGGCAGCCCCTCACCTCCGTGGGGCCGGGGCCGCCGGTCTCAGTCAGCATCCAGGTGGTTGTGGCTCAGGGGGTAACAGGTGTGGGCCCCGCCAAGGGAGTCATGCTCTTTCTCCTCCTCCTCAGAGAGCTCATCCTCGAAGATGTCGCTCAGGCTGTACTCCCGCTCGTGGACAGAGACCTCGTTGGGGGTGACGTGACAGGCGCCACCCACAAAGTCAGCAAACCTGGGAAGAAGCCGCAGGGCAGCGCGTTGCACGCGCAGGCCTGGGCCTCCCACCAGGCCCTGGCACACCGGGAGCCGGGGTGAAGCCCCTTGGCATCAGACAGGGTGTTATCTGTCCCTCCCCCGGGTCACACCCTGCTTCTGCACCCCACGACCTGCGGTGCCTCCACCTCCCTCTCTCCAACGCCAGAGGTGGTGGCTCAGAGCACTCCCAGGCTCTTGGAAGCACCCGGAGATGCAGGACAGGCACCCATGGCGGACGTTACCTCTTGGGAGACTGGATGCGGGACACCGTGGTCCAGGCTGAGAAATCTGGGCTCCTGCAGTAGTTCCGAAGCTCCTCGAGGGCCCTGCGTGTCTCCACCTCGCCCTGGAGCCGGTACTCCTCCTCTGTCAGCAGGCAGGGCGGGCTCGGCCCCAGCCTGGTGCTCTGCACCCTCCTGCCGGCGGAGCAGCTCCCGTTACCGCCCGCGGAGGGGGCACTGTCCTGCGCCAACGCCAGGGAGAAAGGGACACGACCCCCCCGGGGCTCACCTGTAGACAGCGAAGGCCCATTGCAGGGGGTAGTCCAGGTTCTTGGTGCAGACGGCGATAACCACCAAGGCCAGGGCGACGGGATGGATCTGGATGCCCGAGTACATCAGCAGGAGGCCAAGGAGCTGCAGGGCCCAGGAGAGGAGGTTGATGCTGCGCTCGTTCTCCAGCGGCCCGTACCGGTAGCACACACCGAAGCTGACGAAGCCCACGAGCAGCAGGTAGCCTGAGGGAGAGCGGAGGCATCGGGCAGGCACGGACCGGAGGGCTCAGCCCGGCCAAGCGGCGCTCGGAGCCCACCCAGCGCCCCCAGGAGCACAAGGGCTCGGGAAGCCTCAACTGTTTGCCACCAGCACGACGCGGCGGCGGGTCGGAGCGGCTCACACCTACCCAGCAGGTACTGCCAGTAGGACTTGCAGATCTCCCGCAGGTTCTTGAAGATGAGCTGAAGCAGGTACAGGGAGAAGGACCAGCCCCCCGCCAGCAGAATGTAAACAGGACTCTTCTAGGGGAGGAGACGGGAGATTGGGGCAGGCAGCCACGGCCACCTCCCCCAGGGGCTGAGCCCTGCTCCACCCAGGCCAGACCCACAACCCGGCACCCCGAGGCCGTGTGCCGTGCAGAAAGGGCTCCTGCTGCGAGCCCCCAGGCAGCCTGACACACACCCTGGGCATGACCTTGGACATCATGTAGACGAGGATGAGCAGCGAGGCCAGCAAGCCAAAACTAATCCCGGCCGAGTAGTAGAAGAGTTGGCTCCTGCAGAGAGCACACACGCACAAGGTGTTTGGCAGCTCACGGATGCCCGAGCACAAACACACCCGCTGGCAGCGCCCCCTGAGAGCCCGCGGAGCCAGCCAGGCGCTGCCCACCCGGCCCTCGCGGCGTCGGGGCGAAGGACGAGACTCACCTGCTCAGCATGTCCCCGCAGAAGAACAGCAGCAGGCCCAGGAAGAAAACCAGGAACAGCTTCGGGTCAAAGCCTGGGAGGAGAGCGAGTCCGGGCTGAGGAACCCCGGCGTGGTGTCCCCCGAGTCGAGCTCCCCCCGACAGGCACCCAGGAGGAGCAGGAAGGGGCAGCACTGCAGGCGAACCCCCAACAGGCGCCCTCAGCTCCCCCGTCGAGCCCCCCCGGGCAGACACGCTCCCCCCAGCGGGCCCCTTCTCTGCCCAAGGCTCAGCCCCACGGGCCCCACCGGCAGAGCCAGACCCCCAGCCCAGGAGCCCCCTG